ACCAGATAAATTTGGACCACGTGAACCGTTTTCGATAATTTTTATCGAAAAGGTGTAACCTCAAGGGTGGTCCCATCCCGGATAACACACAATGTTTTATAATGGTCTTATATGTAATGAAGAGATGAAGAATATGCTATAGAGATGGGCGATATTTCACTACCGGTGATTTTACCACTGTGATTTAAAAATCGCTAATATAGACTGCTACAACTAGGCCACAATATCGCATGATATTTCGCTGTGAATGCAAATCACATCTGGCAATAGCTAGTCAATAAAAGTTGCGATCTATCATGGTAGAAATGGTGATTTTACAATTTTTTATTATACCCGAGCGCACTTGTGCACAAGGGTATTATAACTTTGTTCACATAACGGTTGTTTGTAACAGGCAAAACGAATCGAGATAGATATAGACAAATGTATACATAAATGATCAGTATGAAAAGAGAAATCGATTAAGCGGTGACTGTCTGTCCGTCCGTCCGTCCGTCTGTGCACACGATAACTCGAGTAAAAATTGAGATATCTTAACGAAACTTGGTATGTGCACTTCTTTCGGGCGTAGGACGGATGGTATTGAAAATAGGCAAAATCGGACAATAACCAAGCCCACCTCCCATATAACGGTGATTTTCAGAAATACGAAAACTTCGATATTTTAGTAATTACTGAAGATTATTCACTCAAAATTGATATTTACAATAATTTTTAGACGAAAATAAGAATATTATAAATTTTTGGAAAATGGGCGTAGCCACGCCCACTTATGGATACATGTATATATCTTGGTAACCGCTGCACCAATCTCTTCAAAACTTGGCACAGTTGTTAGTCTTACTACAGCATACAAATGGCCGAAAATTTTTAAAATCGGACAATAACCACGCCTACCTCCCATATAACGGTAATTTGGAGAAATACGAAATCTTCGATAAATCAATAAATATTAAAGCTAATTTACTCAACAACAATTCTTTACCAAGAAATACGTTTATGATAAAATTTTGGAAAATGGGCGTGGCACCGCCCACTTATGATCACATATATGTTTCTCGGTAACCGTTCTACCAATTTGTACCAAACTCGGTATGATTATTGTGCTTGCCACATAGAAGCAAAACATTGAAAATTATTGGA